TCAAGGGGTTGGATGTGGGTCGAGACTTCATTCGTATGATGTCTCGCATCATGTCCAATCACTACTCGTTAAACGCTCACTTGTTCCGTGTTGAGCTGGGGGACAGTAATCTCTGTGAATGTGGACAAGGTTACCAGGACGCAGATCACATTATTTGGTCATGTGCTGAGCACCGTGGAGTCAGATCCGAGTTGTACGATTCCCTTCGGGCTCGAGGTAGACAACCTAATGTTCCAGTTCGGGATATTTTGGCTAGACGCGATCTGGAGTTTATGAAACTCATATATGTTTACTTTAAGAATATTAATATTAGATTGTAAGTTTTATTAACCATGTGTTTAGTTTGTATTTTGTACGTGTGGGTTTTTTTTATGTTTGTTTTCAAGATGAATAGAAATTCGTTCATGTTTTAGGATTAATTAAATATTTGTATCGTAAACCACATTTCAAACCTCCCTCTCCCTTTTCCCATCCAAAAAAAATTGTAAATCCCCACTAACCTCGAGACAACCGCGAGTATCCGGTCCAGCTCCTTTAACTTTAAATATAAGAAATCAATAATGTATAACAAAAATGATAACTCGGCTCTGTAAAGTTTATTCGATTGAGCCTGTACAAATAAAGTAATTAATAAATAAAATAAATAAATATCTGCAAGAATCACTAGAAATCATTCGCAGAACTTTCATGCAATCATCCCCAGAAATCTTTTCTTTTGGAACAATCCTCAGAATTCAATACACTTGAGGTTCTTCTCGGAAGTCAAGTTTAAGTTGTCCGTCCATCCACCAAAACGTTGTAGTTTTTCTACCAGAAATGTTCAATAAAGCTTGCCTCTCCATTCACCAGAACTGTGCAATTTTTACATAAGGAATTTTCAATTCAGCTTGACCCTTCATGCAGCAGATTGTTGCAAATTTTACACCAGAAATTTTCAATACAAACTTGTCCCCAGAAAATTTCATTTGACCAGAACGATGCAAATTTTCCATCGTTAATGTTTAATAAAAATTGCTTCTCCACAAAAACTTGGTGCAGATTTCTTTTTTTTCATTTTCCACCAGTAATTTTCAATATAGCTTGCTTCTCCTATCATCAGAATGTTGCAGGTTTTCCACCAGATAAAGATTGCCCCTATTTTCAGATTATTCATCATAAATTTTCAGTAAAGCAGCTTCCCTTCAATCATCAGTGCAAATCAATGGTGCAAATTTAACACCAGAAATTATTATTAAAATATGTTTCTCTATTCAGCAGAAGGATGCAAATTTAAGACCAAAAATTTTTCGAAAAGCTTGCCCATCCGTTCATTGTTGTGGTGCAGATTTTCCACCAGATATTTTCAATATAGCTTAATTTTAAATAAAGATTGTGCCTTCATTTACCAGACCAGTGCAAGATTTCCACCACAAATTTTCTGTTCATTTCATTTATCAGAGCGATGCAAATTTTGCACCAGAATTTTTCAATAAATCATGCTCTCCATTCATCAGAACGGTGCACCAAAAATTGCCAGTGAAGTTTGTTTCACCATGCACCTTTGTGGGTCAATTTTCAGGCTTTACCTTTTCATGCACAATAATGGTGCAAATTTTCCACCATAAATTTTCAATGAAGCTTACATTCATCAGAACGATGCAAATTATGCACCAGAAAAATGAATAAACCTTGCTTCTACATTCACATGTTGCGAACATTCCACCAGAAATTTTCAGTTAAATGTGCAGCTCCAGATTTTTAGTGTGATTCAATTAATTAATTACGATCAATTAATTCATTACGAAGTTTAATTTTTTCAACCTTAAATTTGTCCTCTTGTTTTAACCCTCCATTAGCCACTTTAAAAAAAAAATTACACCAGAATTTTTTTGTACACGTGCGGTGCAATTTTTCGACCAAAAAAATTCATTCAAGTTTGTCCCTTCATGCACCTTTGTGGTGCAATTTTCAGGCACCATCTCAAAGGATTGACGCAATACAAGGTTTTCATTTATCTTCAAATCAAGTTCAGGTTATTTTACCTTCAAATCAAGTTATTTTATATCATAATTTTGTATATGTGAAAATATTTTTATTTTTAAAAGGGTGGGCAATTGCCCCACCTTGCCCCACCCTATGCACGCCAGTGTGGCCGGTTCAGAACTCTGAATTTCAGACGCGATCTGCTCCAATTTGCATAATTCTCGATTACTTTTTCGAAGGGACGTATCAGCTTTTGTAAACAATGCATTTGATCGTCGATTTGACGTAACTGGTAGCTCGCCGAACGAAAGTGAATGCGCGTGTTATAGGCTCTTTTCATGTCATCCAATCCATTTGTTAACATCATAATGATTTTCAAAACTCAAAATAATGTACATTTTATTGCACAACTTGAAAATTTCCATCGGGAGTGGCCTTATTTTCCGATTATCTACAGTTCTGAACTGATTTACAGCTGAAATAACCACACATTAAAATTCCGGAAGATCATAACCGCTGCGACAATTTTATAAATCTTAATTTTTCGCTTCAAAAATATATGGAAGCACCAGTCGGATCACTGCAAATCCGATACAGAAAACAAAATATTCCACGTGGATGATGATTTCAAGCACCTGCGGTGGATAAATTAATCAGGAAAGGTGAAAATATTTTCCTCTTCCTATGCTTCACGTTGAAAATTTCCACCCTCGTCACTCTTTTGAGGGTTGCTGTATTCACCGCCTGAGGCTGAATCAATCGCTTAGTTTCTTTTGGATTCGCCTATTATTCGTTAAGAATCGAGTTCATTCATAACTCTAAATAATAAGCAAATTTTATTAAACTCCGTTAAATGAAATGTAGAATGGATTACTTTCATCTCTCTTGATTGTTTTGCAAGATTCAAAATGGTCTACTTTTGGCTCAAATGTGAATGATTTTCTATAGCAATCCTCTATGAAAAGACAAACAAACAGACATCTCAAATTGAACTTTGAGAAGTGGCGATATCGTAACCAATGAGGTACAGCCATAGAGGTAATTCTAAGACTAGTAGGTCCCGAAGAAAAGTGCTAAACTTTTTGGCTCTGCTCTGGTACTATCTTCGGTCCCAAGCTAATCGATTCACCCCTCGAAAAATAGGAAAATCCACTAACCCCTCATTTTATCTGTCAAACTTTCATAGCAAATCAAAACAAACATTGTGTAGTACTAGAATTCCGACAAGAATGGGATACGTTAATCAATTTGCTTGGGACCAGCCTATAGTCAAGTAACCAGAAGGTCCCGAAGAAACGTGCTCAACTTTTTGGCTCAGCTCTGGTACTAGCTTCGGTCCCAAGCTATTCGATGCACCTCTCGAAACATAGAAAAATCCATGAACCCCACATTTTATCTGTCAAACTTTCATAGCGAATCACAACAAACATAGTGTAGTACTAGAATTTCGACTAGAATGGGGTACGTAAATCGATTTGCTTGGGACCAATAGGCTAGTCAAGTAGTAAGCCAATTTAAAATCGTTTATTTCCACTGGTTGGTACAACCGAGGTGCGATTATTGCTAGTTGAAAACATTGAACATATTTCACTGCAAAACATTGACACTAAAACGTTACCGCCATCTGCTGCGTTCACCGTCATGCGCAGTACGCTTAACAGATAACAGATAACAGATAACAGATAAAATACCGTTCAATGCGTGTTCGATGAAAAACGTGCAAGAGTTATATCTGTTTGTCTGTGATGAAATTTTCCATTGAAATCATCTTCTCCGTGCTGAATCGATTGTTAATTTGACGTGGAACTGCTTTTTAAAATAGCAGAAACTGGAATAATTTTCCGGAGAAATAGTGAGCTTTTTGATTTCTAAAGTTTCACCAAACAAACCAGCAAGCATTCCAGGACCCTCAACTGAAAACGTCCCTGAATCGGTTCGGAATAACAAAAACAACAATCTTTCTCTAACGACAGCAGTGGTGTTGGAGGAGGCATGCGAAGGTTTGTGATATGGTTGTGTCCTTGCGTAAGGATTCTCAACCACCGACTGTGGCACCCGGCGGCAGCGGGGGTGGACAATGAAGTAATGTTGTATTCAGTCATCCCGTGCGAGAAGCGGATGGATTTAAGAGAGCGAGAGCTTTGATGTCCGCGAGAGACCCAGAGAACGCATACATTTTAGCTGATTGTGGCAGTAGCTTTCCTAGCGGGTAACGACGATGAACAAGAGTTGGTGGTTTTGAAGGAAAACTCGCGAATCACATCACACACACGCGTCCCAGTGGGCGAGCAGCAAGGACTTTAATTCTGGATCAGTTATTCAATCAAACTGTGCTGTTTTTGTGTTTCCTTAACTTTATCTAGGTTTTTCCTTGTCTAGCACACACCTTGTTCAAAGTGAATTTCGGTTCGAGCGAAGATGAGCGCGGGTGTCTCGAGGCGAGGATGGTGATGTGGACTGAATTAGCGACCGAAATAAGAGGTGTTTTTCCTTTTCCTTGTGTTGTCGCAGAAGGTGGATACCATTTTTCTGACCTAGTGCTCCGCAAAAGTAGTGTGTCATTCCGCAGCCAGAGGTTGATGGATTGCGAGGTGAACCCTTCCCAGTTGTCCCCGTGCCGTGTGTTCCGATCGGTGCTGAGCGCGAGTGACTGTGTCGGTATTCCTTGCCATTCGATATGGGCCTGGTAGTGTAGTTGTGTAGATTTCCCTAACGAGGGGGTGGAAGAATAGATCCTAAAGGGTGTCAGTAAATCCTTACGACGTCGGGAATTGCCGGGAGAGTTGGTGAGCGTGGGAGAGAATACACAAACGTTTCCAGCGGGAGAGCTACGTCCAACGGATAAGGACAAGACGCACGTGGGTGGTTAACATCTCCTCAACTTGTCACGAGGAAGACAATCTGCGAGAGAAGCGGACACTCAGCGTGTGTGTGTGAGAGAGAAAAGAGCGCGCGCCTGAACATAGGCAAAGTGCTTTTCTTATCATTATCTATTTGGACCTCGCGAGAGCCTGGCATGTGTGTGTGTTGGTCCTAGAGTCCTAGACACGCGATTTTCGACATCGTTGTCTTCGTGGAACGCACCGCCAGGATCTGGAGTGTTTGTGCAGAGATATCCTCGTTTCTAGACACATTCTCCTTCGGTTGTTGCGGTGTGCCGTCAAAAGGTTTTTCCATCCAACCATAGCGATGTTCTCATCAGTAATCTTCTTCTTCGGTCACAGGAAAAAAGAAACGGAAAACCCAGCTGGAAAATTAGTGTGCGAATGAGGCAGCATTTCTACTGAACTGTGGACTAACGACAAGCCGTAAAGAATCAAACTTACAATAGAACCTCCGGTGGATTTTCCTGAACACAAGTCATCATCGTCATTCAGTGATAGAGGAAGTGCTACAGGAAAAGGGAAAGTGAGTGCAGTGCTTGTAACAAACATAAAAAGCTACCGGAGTTTGTTGCGACAATAGACCCGCTGTAGTGAATCGAGTTAGAAAACAACCCGTCAAGAAAATAATACCTAGACTGTGTCTATCTTAACAGCAAAAAAATATACATATTGCCCTAACGTAGTGAATCTGTGAAGTTTTGAAGATTGCATTGTGTGAGCGAGCGCCCTCTACCATCCTCCGCTCAACCAAAAGAATAGGGATATATCTTTAACAATTATCCGTTTCGTCAACCGTGTGTGTAGCAGTAGCGACCTCCTCCCCCCTAACTTCTCGTTAACTGGTGTAATCGTCTATCTAGCAAGCAAAAAGAGAAGAAAAAGAAAAGAAAAGTGTCGTCGGTGTCTATTGTTGTCGTTGTCGTTGATGTTGTTGCCGTTACGCTGCTAGTGCATCATATAAGAAGAAATATTCAAACCAGCTAACAAGTGTGTACCGAAAGCTTTCTGTATCTATGTCAGGATAGTTGAAAAAAAAAAAAAAACAAGTGAAACAACAACGCCATAAGTGTTGCGCTACCACCTAGCTATACACTACACAACTAGCCATCGTTTTCGTCTCCGTTGCTCTGTAGCGAATCGCGTAGAACATCTGTGTACTGATAACTATTGTCTATGAATACATACATACATACATACACACAATTATATACCCCTCGCTAACTGCTATTCGTCTATCTACAAGTGAAAGAAGCAAAAAAAAAAGTAAAGAAAAAACAACGGTTATTATAATAGAAGAACAACAACTGTCACCGCCAGATATTGAGTGCTTGAAGCAAGCGGGAGAGCAAATACAAACAAAAAACGGGGAAAATTGCGGTTTTAAAAACGAAAAAAAAAAAAAAATCCCGTCTGGTGAATGCTAGGTGGCTTCCGGTTTTGGCTATTGTTTCGGAAGAATACCAAGGAATACACTCCGGCTGCAGTGAAAGTTGGTGGTTGGCAGATTTTGCAGCCAAGCGATTAACCGGCACCGGATCGTTACAATGTAAGCTCGAGTTGTTGGAGAAAACTTGCACAAGGAAGCTGGTGGAATTGTTGCGAATGCCGGTAAGTTTGCTAAGGAATTTTGTGGAGTAGAATTTCAGTTCCATAGTTGATAAGGCATCGAGATAATAGTTTCATTCGAATTCCGGAGACTGGAAAGAGGCAAAAATTACTCACGGTTTCGTAACATCGGTAAAGTTTAACCGAACTTTTTTGTAATTCTATGAAATTCGGTTGAAAATATATTTTTTAATATGAAGTGGACAGCAAGAGATAAAAACTCAATTGATCAATGATATAGACATTTAAAAATATATATTAAAGCTATTTTATTTAATAATGCTCAATCGAAAGAATTTTACAGAGACAAGTCTTCTTGTCCATTATGCAATACAATATTAACAATAAATCTTAAAACTACTGTCAAGAAGTACAATACTATAGCTTCCTTCATCACAACGGGATTCACTTGCAGTGGTTTCCAATTATGGAAATATCGCCAAAGGGGGGCTTGGCGCTTCCATTGAAGAAATGGGCCCAAGTCGTGGTCTTCACTTAAGGTGGAAGTCAAGTTGAAAAATTCCACTACATACAAGCTCATTTTTGCGAGTGTCTGTGTGTTTGAGAATCACTTCTGTAATCACCTAATTTTGCAACTATTCGGACTCTCAGTGAAAGGTGGAAATACCATAAACAAAATCATTGAACACTTACCTTGTCATGCAGCTCACAAAAATCTGTGGTTTTACATTAATATAATAAAAAACTGCCCATCTCAAATCAGTTTGGGTTCTCAACCCACAACTTCTCGAAACACTACACAAACACACTTCAATGTTAATTTCATTGCCTATTTTAATATGATTCCCAACCCTTTCCTACCTTATATATTGCTTTACGAGCTGGGTCTATGACCCAACTATCAATTAAAGGCGAGAAAATCCGCGGTGACAAGCACAAACTACGCAAACGAACAACGTGAAAATACGGAAACGTCAATCGTTTCCCCCGGCGCCGTTCTATCACTTTCCTGTTGTGGTATTCTGATTGAATTGGCCTGGCAATGTTGGGCTAGTAGTCTCTTTTATTCTCACACTCTTGAACGATGCAAAATGTTTGACGTCATCATCATTGTCAAACAACGGTGAAAATGGTGGAAAGAGACACACAAACACACTACCAGTCCTGTTTTGCTGGCACAGTCTCAGACGGTGTGTTTGTTTACTTTCAGTTGTCACCTTTGTCAAAATTGCAATGAATATTAATTGCAAAGGTTTATTGTGCATTCCTACTTCATATATGATTATATCGAGTACTAAGAGAAACAATGTCTCAATATTAAATTTACTGTTGGCAGCACTGCCAGCTGACTAATGTATACAAAAATTGTGTTCAATTAATCATATCGTTTGGCCATTTTCCACAGAGATGGCGCTGTTCCGCTGGTAGTAAGTGATAAATATCCCCATATAGAAATTGAGAGAAGTGGGAATAATTCACTTTCGGTGCATATTCAGATCAAAAAAAGTGAACGACAACCTGAACAAATTATTCAGGAACTCTATCGTTCAGTTTTTTCCCGGAAAGTATCGTTAGACAAGCTACAATTAAGGGGTTGCGCCTACCTGCAAGACCGAAAAAAGAGCGAAAGTTTGGATTTTTTTCTCGAAAACGACGCAACATATTGAAAATCGGTTTTCTGCCGTTTATTGAACACACATTAAATGGTACATTTATCAGTCGATGCTGTAAAAACGAGGTCCTGGTGCCCCGCACGGCTGCTCCTCGTGAACGATGTTCTAAAAAACGCTTTTTGCGGTGCCAACTGCGGTTTGTGATGTAATCATCTGAAATAAAAAAAAAACATGTCAAATCGTTAAACATGTGTTAAACTAGTCCTTGATCGTTCGGTTTTTTTTTTATTTTTTTTTGACAAAATGGCGGCCTTGCAAAGTTGAAGTGCCGGTTTTTGATCCTTAAAATTTGTCTTTGATCGGCTGTAAAAATCGAAATTAAATGATAGACGAAATCCGAACGATCGTGGACTGCACAAAATAGTACTGAACAGAAATCAAAACTAATCGGACGAATCGAATGTATACATTTCGAGAAATTTTTGGCACCGGTTTTGAAAATATGATTCCGAGATAATCGCGTTTAAAGTTTCATGTTGGGAGTAGTTCACTATAAGTGAATATTTTTGTACGTCGCATAACTTTCACAATTTTCATCGGATTAACTTGATCTTTTGAGGAAATATTCTTGACTTTATATACTTTCGATTAGGACAATAAAAAAAATCGATTTTTGAAAGTTTGCAGGTAAGCGTAACCTCTTAAATAAAAATGATTTTTCCTCATACAGTTTTACCTGCCTTACTACCAGTCCCCAGAGAGCCCAAAAATTAAAATTTGAGAGAGAAAATTTGCTCTTACGACCTCAATCTCTCAACACGCCAAGTATTTTGATGACACAGTGCCAGATGGTCGTAGATTAATTAATCATTTTGTCAAGCTTCTGCATTCATTTTCCATAAGATGTCACTGCTGTTGTTGAAGTGACACCTATCGAAAACTACACATAATCTGTTTTCCGTTGAGGACAGTGCAGTGCAAAAGTAGTAGTAAAATTATGTTTATTTCTGTTGCTTATGGTAGTACATTGATTTAACATTTTAATTGATTTAATTGCCAGGTAGGCTACTGGCTCTTCATATTTGTTTAATTTGATATTCTAATTTAAAATTTGCGTTTTTCAACTAGTTTACATAATACCCCTATTGGGGGTGTGTTTTGTTTGAATTGAAAAAAAGTGAAAACCTACCTAACTACGAGCATAACTTAACTTAACGTGCTAGATCACGTGTGATCTGCCGATTTGATCTCAGACAGCTGTCTCTGAACCTTTCCAAGATGAATACTCTCCGTTCTTCTAATGTCTGAATTCCAGCCAGAAGGTGAATCTCAGAATTTCTAGTCCACGGGGGACTGTTTAGGACCATCCTAAGGATCTTGTTCTGGATCCTTTGGAGTTTAAAGTGATGGCATTTTGCGCAACTCTCTCAGCTTGGCATCCCGTATTCTATTACAGGAAGCATGATTTGTTTGTAGCCAGCAAGCTTATTTTTCAGGGATAGAGGAGACCTCCTGTTGATGAGTGGATACAGTGATCTTATCAAGATGTTACACTTGGTTTTGGTTTTTTCAACGTGCTTCCTGAAAATCAGCTTGCTGTCTAGTGTTAAGCCGAGGTAGACTATCTCTTTCGACCATTCCACCACTGGCAGGTTTCAGGCAGATCTTATTATTCACCGACGGAACAAGTCTGGGAGATTTAGAGTGTGGAAATATGATGACCTGGGTCTTTATCGCGTTGATACGGATCTTCCAGCTGTTGAAATATTCAGACAGGACGTCCAGGCCTCTCTGAAGTTAGGCAGTCAGAGCTCCGACGACCCTACCCTTGTAAACGATGGATGTGTCATCTGCGAACAGAGACAACGATCCACCAGCAGGGAGAGCCGGCATATCGCAGGTGAAAAGGTTGAATAAAATGGGGCCAAGGATGCTTCCTTGTGGAACTCCGGCACCGATGTTGAAAGCATCCGATGTGATGCCATTCATAGAGACTCGGAACGTCCTGTTCGATAGATAGTTGTTAATTATCTTCACTAGGAAGATTGCAAGACCGTAGTGCTGCAATTTGAACACCAAGCAATCATGTCAGACATTGTCGAACGCTTTTTCAACGTTCAACAACGCCAAAGCAGATGTTGGCATTTTACCTCACGACATGTAATACGAATGTTTCGTACAATTAACGAAAATATTGTACGATGTACGAAACTCATTTTTACGAAATGAGCTTCAGAGAAATCACGAAAATATATTTCCAGTGTTGTGAGAGTAAGTTTAAGGAGGGATATGTAATACTTATTGCAAAGTAAGGTGTCAAACGATTATACCGCATAACAGCATAAACGAAAAGTATCTCAACAGGTCTTTGAAGTTTTATGAGGTTTAGTAAACTTATTTTATGCGTTCCAAGTATTTCTTGAAATTTTCCCAGTACTGAAGTTCTCTAAATTTAGTGCAAATTTCCAAGATCTTAAAACATAAAAAATAACGGCACCGGTGGTGTTGTGGTAAGCGTGATTAACACTCACCCCAGCAGGCGTCGCCGGGATATTCTGAGGCATAACATCTCTGATCACGCCTGCCATCGGAAGGGAAGTAAAGCCGTTGGTCCCCGGTTCATGAGTTTATGGGTTGATAGGTAGGGTCCAGGTGTGGGAGCTGCCTCCCTGGCGTCGGTAGCATTGGTGCTCATCACGGAAAACAAGATCGACGGAAAACAAATCAAGGAAAAAAAAAAAGAACGCAAACAGATTGCTTAATTTTTATGAAGTTTTCTAACCTTTGCAACCCTAAGCAATATTATGGACTTGAAAAATGGTTGGTAGCATCTTCTAAAATTTCAAACTTTGAGGCAGTAAAGATACCTTTTAGTTACGAAACTTCGTTTACTTATTTAAATTTAATTAAATATACAAAAAAGGTATATCAAAAATGATAAGTCTTATACAAAAGTTGGCAAAGAATGATTTTAAGGAAATTGTATGAACTCTTACAACAAAATAAAAAAACATAAAAGGTAAATTTACTACTGTTTGTTGACTGTCCTTTACGATAAACTGATTTATATCAACAATCAATACGAAACTAACGATTTTAAATTGACTCACTACTTGACTAGCCTATTGGTCACAAGCAAACGATTAACGTATCCCATTCTAGTCGAAGTTCTAATACTACACTATGTTTGTTTTGATTCGCTATGAAAGCTTGACAGATAAAATGAGGGGTTATTGGTTTTTCCTATGTTTCGAGGGGTGAATCGATTAGCTTGGGACCGAAGAGAGTACCAGAGCTGAGCCAAAAAGTTGAGCACGTTATTTCGGGACCTTCTAGTCTTAGAGTTACCTCTATGCTTATACCCCGTTCACATTACAGCCTATATCACGTAATATAGGCTGTCTTGCAATGAGCACTCATACATAGGAT